TACCAAACTTATGAGATATTGTATAAATATCGTTCATAGCGTTTTGTCCCCGCGCGGCCGCGGAGTCCGCGGAGCGACCAGAGAGAGGTGTTTTGATTTTTTTTTCTTAATTCTTGCGGAACCCCGACAGAGGTATCATGGAACCCTAGGGTTCCGCGGAACACACTTAGAGTATAGCTGCTATAGATAATATACAAGTCCATTATTGATTATATCGGTCCAAGAGTGGAATCTTACCGACTAACGAAATATACTTCTTTCATTCGAATAAATTCCAGATTCTTCATACTTACTCTACCGCTGCATTTGACACAGCCACAGCAGATTTAAAATCTTCTTGGGATATGAGTATTTTAATGAATAGAGCGTAGCAAAATTCATGTTTTCCCAGTTGCACCGCTTTATGGGCATATTCTTTGGCCCCGTCTATGTCGCCAAGCTTCATTAGACACTGTCCTGTAATAAAAACGGGCTGTGATTTATATTGGTCGTAAAAGGAATCTCAAGATGCTGTGCACAAAATTATTGTCCAGAAGGATATCTACGAAACGAACAGAAATGAGTCACATAACCATTCAAACAACCGTTATTTGAGAGTGAAATGGAAAAAAAATTGAGGAGAATGTGAATATAAGAATAATAGCTACCTAAATAATAGTAGATCTCCCAGTCGGGGTTCTTCGATTTCGCTTCCGCTCCCAAGAAAGCGTCCTTTGATAGTTTGAACCTGCGCAGTTCAAACCTGCAGAAAAAAGTTTTGAACTTTCATTAAAGTTATCAGAAATAAAGTCTGAAACAAGTAGTTTTAAGTTTTTATTCGCAAAGGCTGTGTCCAGCTAAACAGTGTGAAATTGTCTTAAACGATTTGAACATTTTCAACCCCAATTCAATTCATTTTACTTTATTTTCTTTTCGAAATGTAGGTGCGTGTTTTATATGAGGTGCCTATGTAGTAAGTTGGTTTAAAGGAAAATACTATCTAAAAATTGGAATATAAAATGATATGATAAAAGTTCTACAGCCTATAGGCTATTCCTTTAAATAGCGTAGTAATTAGAATAGAATAGAAATTCATTTATACTGAACAACAAACAGAATGGTTTCCACTTACATAAACTACAGTTTTTTTTAAAGTTCCTTACATATAGTATTCATTGAGTACCATTGATACAGTTGAAATCGATATAAAATATAGCAATATAAAACAATAAATAATAAAATGAACGTAAAAAGATTCAGACACATTTGAGCATTCGAAGGAATTCTCCTCTGTAATACTGAATATATCCAGTTCACAGTTACTCACCATTTTGTTAACTGTTTCGAGACATTGTTGAAGAGAAGACAAATTGTTTGAGATACGAAATAGGTTGTATTTTCTTCTCAGTCTTACGTCATGTACAATAAAATCAATAATATAGAGAATTTCAGGTACTTTCATTTTTCCAAAAATCACTTCGGAGAACTCACGGCGGTCTTTCAATGGTTGCATGTTAAATTCTTGTAATTGGCTAGAATACGATATAAATAAAGGCCAAACATTTGAAATAGTCCTTGATATTAGGTGACTTCTTTCGTGTGAAACTTATTATTTTACATTTAGCTTCGTTGAGACATAGGTCAGCTACTGAAAAGTAAGTAAATAGATTATTCAGATCATTTTGAAGCATATCAGAATCTTATTCGCTTTCGATTCTTCTAAACAGCTTGAGATCATCGGCATATAGAAGAAAATGAGAATGCCCGATATGCCGAGAAATGTCATTAACAAATAACACGAGAAGTAGAAGGTCCCAAAATCGAGCACTGCGGAACTCCCGAAGTAGCGGTGAATTTGAAGGATGATACGTTGTTGAACTGTACAAACTTTATTCTGTTGGATAGATAACAGTGAAAGAAATTAAGTGTGTTGTTTGTGAAACCGAATGCTTTCAATTTCAGGATCAAAACCTCGTGGTTAACTGTATATAACGTCTATTTGATAGCCATTTTTTATTCTATCCGTAACAAAGTTACTAAATGCGCATAAAATGGGTAATGGTAGATTTATCACGAATAAAGCCATACTGTTGGTCGATTATTACCCGTTCAAATATCTTCGGCAAAGCTGGTAAGCTGTAGTTTCTTATGTTGTTCTTATTGCCGCTTTTGCGTATGGGAGTAACTCTCCAATTTTGAGAAAGCTTGGAAAACGATTTTCTTTCAGAGAAAGATTGAATATCACTGTCAGTGGTTGCTTTAATAAAACACAGTAAGCCTTGAAAACGTAGGATGGAATGCCATCGATTCCAATGGCTGCTTTGGGTTTCAGTGTCTTAATAGAATTTTCAACCTCGTGTTCCTTAATATCACCAATTTCAATGATGTCTAGGTCATACTCAGGAACTAGTATGAGGTTTACCAGCACACCGCTCATATTCATTGAGTCAGTTTGAAAGTGGAAAAATGTAGTATTTATTTTGAACATTGAAAGTTGTGTGATTCGATTTAAAAAATCTCAGAGGACTTTTTAAAGTTGTATAATAGGAGGAGTAACCCATTGGAAGGGTTAATGGTTTTGTTGAGGGCGGTTTATTGATGTTTTAGTTTAGGCATTCTAGCTATGACAATGAAAACATGAATGGCGAAGCATTTCATTCGGACTTCCATTGCCTAATATAGGGGTCTCCAAACTACGAGGTCCTAAA